ACACAAAGATCAGAATCCCATTGGAAAGAAAAAATTGTATTGGAATATCTCTAGTAGGGCTGCAATTAATGATTATTCTGCAAATCAATTAATCTCTCAATTATTTTTTTAGATTAATGGGTTAATAATCGAATAGACAAAGGTTCCTCAAAGAAGGGTTTTCTAGGGAATTAAACCAGGTGAATCTAAAACTTTTCCACTGAAGGAGTTCAAGTTAGAGCACGTTGATGGACAAAAACATTTTTTTAATCTTAAATGCAAAGTGTTTCATGTTTTTTTTTAACAATCTTGGTATAATTACTGCTCTAAATGTGTTGCTCTGTCAGCTAAAAGCATGTTTTAGAGTCTCAATTCTACAGTAAATGATTAATCAATTACTAAATTAGTTGATTACTTAAATAATTAATTAATCACAGTTAATCCGATTAACATTTTCAGCCTTAACTCTAGATTAAAATACTCTTCTTAAGTCCAGGGACCTCATCAATTCTGGTCAAAATGCTAAGAAAAACAGCTTCTTCATAGCATCATTCTACTACAACCTTATCTGACCAGAAGTTTCACGTCTTCGAAAACACTTTCTTGCAAATGTTTTCCATTTCCCCTTAAAACAAATTTTTTCAAAATTCTCTCAGAAAAAAATCATTTTCTTTTTAGAGATTATGACAACAAATGATTTTCTTCATTTGATCTGAATAGTCGAAAAACATGAAACCTGAATTTTTGCTGGGGTGATCAGAGATTTGCAAATATTAACATTTTTTAATTGTATAAGTAAGAAAAAAAAGAAGCAAAAAACAACAACAACAAAATTATTTTGGAGCTAAATTAAAGTGAAAGTTTGTTTAAAAAAAAAAACGAAAAAAAAAAAAATATTTTACACGAAATTTTTTTTAGAAACTGTTGACAAGAAAAAAAAATGATTATTTTTCTAGGTATAGGCTATTTCTGTGGTTTTGACTCCTTAAAATGTTGAAATTCAAACTTTTCCCCCGTTCTGGTATTGAGCAGGGATGACAGGGGTGTGAAAGCACTACCAACTGCTCAACAGCTGTTGCTTTTAGAAAGTATGGGAACAGAAAATACCTTTGAAATATTGAAGCTAATTTATATTTTTGCAACTAGTAGTTAAAAATTCAATGCCTTACTGAACTAAAGCTACATTCACACCGCACGTGCTTCAGGCAGCAGAAGCAGCAGGTTTAAATGCAAAGTCTATGGTTGACACGCATCAAGGTGCATCAAAAGGTCCTGCAGCACATTTTGAGCTACAAGAGCAGCGCAGCTTGATCCATCTGAGCAGCTGAAGCAGCGCCTAATGAGCTTCTGAGGCGTTCAACACACTTCACAGGCAGCAGCTGCCGGAGTTGGAAATTTTATATTATTGCTGCTTGATGCTCCACATTAACCAATCAGAGAACCTGATCTGAGGCTGGCAGGGAGACCAGTCACAGCGCTGCTGATGCAGAGCACTATGATCCCTCCTATGAAACAGTCACGTTTTGGTTGTGGTTTAGAGGACTCAAATGCAAAGGCAGAGAGGCTGAGGTGAATTCTTATAGTTTTAATGATGAAAATAGTTAACAAAGGCAGGAATCAAGGAGCCAGGGAGAGACGAGGTGAGACGACAACAGCGATGACAGAACCAGCAACAACAAGGAACCAACAAGGAGTGACTGCAGAGGGAGAGTATATGTAGCTGACTGAGACAATGGCAGGGCTAACGAGCTGATAAGGAGCAGGTGTGAGAGGAGACAACGAGGGAGCCAAGGGGAAAGGAACACACGCAAAAGAGGCAACAGAGAAAAACAGAAAAACCTGAGAACTAACATAAATCTAGAAACTACAACAAAATAGGAATTAAACCAATAAAACTAGGAAACATGGAGCAAAGTAAAGTACAACATAACCAAAACCATGACAGAAACTGTTTATAAATGCCTAAATTAACTTAAAATGCCAGCAAAATATGTCCATTTTTATTGTTCTGATGCCTGTAGTTTGTTAACCTGGCAGTAACCAGATTGATATAGAACTGAATTGAGTTTTACGTTATCAATCTGGGATGGACAAAACAAATAGTCATAGCAGAGGGATTAAAATCAATAGAATTTTTCTAAAAACTAGAAGTGGGCAGGAATATCTCAGTAATGCAACACATAATTTTCCAATTTTACAAACAGAGAATACACGTACAAGTAGTGACCCAACAATCATTCTGCGGTTTGCTAAGTGAATATTCTGCAGGATGCTGAGACAAAAATTGACTTTTATCTCTAAAGCCGAACAGAAGAAACAATATTATTATAAGAGTCATAGAAAGACAAACGTTTTTCTCTCCTAAATATGTGAATTCCTTGATGTACCTGATCCATTCGATTCTTTAGGCTGGAAAAGGTCGGGTCACCCTATGTGGAATAGCAGCAAGACATTGATACACAATAAATGACTAAACAAACTAAATGATGGATAAAATGCTCTTATTCAAAGCCTGGATTTAGATCCAAAGGAATTTTTGTGGTTGGACCTTAAAATAAAATAATATTGCAAAGGAAAACGGGCAGAACTCCTCTATAGCAAGGCTCTTAATTTCTTGGTAGTTATTGATTGACTTTATTGATCTGATAGTAGAGAAATTTACTTTTTCATCGGCTGAAATAGTCAAACAAGAAGAATGTGGCAAAGGAAAGGATTATTGCACAGGGTGTTTACATGGGTATGTACTGTATATCGATGGATATAAATATAGTCATTGTACTGGGTGCCAAATGTAGAGAAGCAGGTTATTGCACAGGGTATCAAATAGTAATTACACATTATACATTGCACAAGTTATTGTCGTTTTTATCATTATAGGTATTGTGGAGGATGTTCTTTTTCTGGGTGGATCATCAAAATCAGTGGTCCTCCTAACTGTCAATCATTCTGGTGATATGTTCACGTAAGGCCGTCCTACGTGTTTGTCCCCATTTTTACTTAACGGTGGTGATTCTGACATAGTGGAAAAACTGCAAATCTTTTGGAAAGTAAGCTTGTATGAGGGATGCAAACAGCAACCTTTAAACAGAGCGTGCATGAGGAGAAATCTTGCATGCTCTTGCACGCCTTTAATAGTCGTTTCCTCTCGGGAGCGTGTACAGGGTTGTGAATGTGCTTTTTTTTTATGACTTGAACTTTATTTAGGTTTTAACAAAATAAAACATACAAAGTATACAATGTTGCACATTAAACCAATTGGGTATGCAAGCACTGAAAACATAGACAATATAAAACAAAACAAACCGTAAAAGAAGAACAAGAAAGATGCCAACAATACACTTATACAAGGTTACAGCGGACATTACTGATTAAGGTTGATCTGAGTTGGAAACGTCATTGACCCGTATAGGAAAAGTACGGGGCCCATTTGTCATTATAATCATCTACTCTATTTAACAGTCTGTATGATAATCTTTCAAATGCTGCCAGTTGTCCAAGTGAGGTGTACCACTGGGTGAAAGTAGGTGTTGATGGGGCCTTCCACTCCCTTATCAAAAGTTTTCTCCCCAGCATGATGGCTGTCTGTACCCACTGTGCAAGAGAAGAGGGCAAATAACTCAAAGCTGAGTGAATGTGCATTTTTTTAAGTGGAGAGGGCAGGTCTTNACTGGGTGCCAAATGTAGAGAAGCAGGTTATTGCACAGGGTATCAAATAGTAATTACACATTATACATTGCACAAGTTATTGTCGTTTTTATCATTATAGGTATTGTGGAGGATGTTCTTTTTCTGGGTGGATCATCAAAATCAGTGGTCCTCCTAACTGTCAATCATTCTGGTGATATGTTCACGTAAGGCCGTCCTACGTGTTTGTCCCCATTTTTACTTAACGGTGGTGATTCTGACATAGTGGAAAAACTGCAAATCTTTTGGAAAGTAAGCTTGTATGAGGGATGCAAACAGCAACCTTTAAACAGAGCGTGCATGAGGAGAAATCTTGCATGCTCTTGCACGCCTTTAATAGTCGTTTCCTCTCGGGAGCGTGTACAGGGTTGTGAATGTGCTTTTTTTTTATGACTTGAACTTTATTTAGGTTTTAACAAAATAAAACATACAAAGTATACCATGTTGCACATTAAACCAATTGGGTATGCAAGCACTGAAAACATAGACAATATAAAACAAAACAAATCGTAAAAGAAGAACAAGAAAGATGCCAACAATACACTTATACAAGGTTACAGCGGACATTACTGATTAAGGTTGATCTGAGCTGGAAACGTCATTGACCCGTATAGGAAAAGTACGGGGCCCATTTGTCATTATAATCATCTACTCTATTTAACAGTCTGTATGATAATCTTTCAAATGCTGCCAGTTGTCCAATTGAGGTGTACCACTGGGTGAAAGTAGGTGTTGATGGGGCCTTCCACTCCCTTATCAAAAGTTTTCTCCCCAGCATGATGGCTGTCTGTACCCACTGTGCAAGAGAAGAGGGCAAATAACTCAAAGCTGAGTGAATGTGCATTTTTTTAAGTGGAGAGGGCAGGTCTTGTCAAAAATTCGCAAAAATCCTCCACTATACTTTTAATACTTAATTTGGAGTTATTGGGGAACGACTAATTTTTAGTTTTGGGGAGCATTTACTGTTTCACACAAGGTTGGTTTGGATTATTTTTAATCAATTAATTATTTAAATTAGCATTTAAAAGCTGCTGTGTGTATGTCCTTTCGTAATCCTGATTAATCTTGATTGATTTTAATAGTTGAAACATTTTCAACACCGCTGTTAATAAACATTTTTTCTTCTTCTGGTCTAAAAATAGAAAGAAACAGGATGAAAGGTATAAGGAGACCAAGAGGATGCTATTTCACTGCTTTCAAGCGTCATCCCCCCTCCCCAAATCATTCTACCTTACTGCACTGAAGAAGAAAAAAAAAAGCGCTCATCCAGCCTGAGTGGACAACCATTCAGCCAATCAGCTCCTTGCCTCCTGATTCTGTCATCAGGCTTGGATATCGGGGAAGGATTCACAGCCCCTCTGCTGCTGCCTCTGCTGTTCTCTCTGCCTCTGTGTGTAGGTTTTGTACATACGGACGGCTGATAAAGATGAAATGCCAGGATTGGGCTGCCTCCAGGGACACCGTCTCCATCCTGTAACGTGAGGCAGCCAGCAGCACCGGGAGATCAGGGAGAAGCTGCATCCATCTGAAGAGGCGCCTCCAAAGGACCAGGCGTGATCCAACAGGAGGGGATATTTATATATATATATTTTTTATTATTCTCTGCTGTGGAGAGGAGGAATTGTCGTCATCCCCCCTTCACAACCATCCTTTTTTTTTCTCTCTGGTTCCCCCTCCTTTCTCCTCCGCCCCCACTTATATTTTCCCCCTCATTCTTCTAGAGGAGCTCGTTAGAAAACCAAACCTCCATGTATGACAATTTGTACCTGCATGGATTTGAAGACTCGGAGGCGGTGAGTGTAAATCTGCTTATATTGTCCCCCTGCTGTGTGCTTATTGGTAGCACACACACACATTCACAAGAGGCCTTTGATGGGTTAGCCAGTATAGTGTGGTCCTGGGCTACGCTTGGCTGGAAGGGGGTTGGGTGGGTGTGTAAAGGAGGGGAGGGGAATGCACATTAGGCAGATGGCTAAATGGTTTCTGCATATATCTGTATACATTGGTTGGATATATCAAACCGGGGGAAACCAACGGAGCCATAGAAGAATCATCTAGTCTTCTTTACACGCTTTCTGTCCAAGGTTCTCAGAGGAAAACCAATGGATGCAAATGACCCCTCGTCATTCCTCACCCCCCCAACGGGTCGCCACCGAAATGACAAATCATGTGTCACATTCCTGCACCCGTCACTTTTCCTGAAGAGTATTTCTCATCCAGATGCGCTGCTGCGCGGCGTTCTGGCTCTGACGGGGCTCTGAGAAACATGCATCGTGATGTCATTAAGTGGACTCTGATGCTGATGAGTCACATGCTGAAGCTACTCCATTGGATAATACCTCTGATGCTACAGTTATTTTCTCCTTTATGCATGTTTTGGATCAATCCAGGTTTTTGGAGAACATGCTGATTTCAAAATCTTAATTTGTCTCAAAAGAACAAATTAAGTTTGAAAGATGATCAATATTATCTGACAGGGGGGTTCCCGGTGTTTTGTTCACATTTTGTCAGTTTACAACCACAGAACAAATGTATATTTGCTTTCATCCCTCCTTACTCAAGTACCTCTTAATAAATCCCAGAAAACTACCTTTGTTGGTTCCCAACTTCCTGCATATGTGTGTTCTCTAAAGGCCAGAGAAGGTTGCCAGTGATTATTGGTGAACAAACAACACCATGAGGACCCAAGACAACAAATAAGTGATGATTAAATATGAGGAGAGGTTCCTTTGTGATCTTTTGGGAAGTCAATTTTAGTGGATTACCTCACAACTTCATAACCCATAAGAATTCTTGTTTGCATTTTGCCACAAGGGGAGATAGAAAACATGCAGAAGAAGGTGCTCTGACACTAATCTTTACCCATCATCCATCTCACTCTGTATCACCATCACTGCAGTAAACCATGATGGTGGTACCATCATCAGAAGAATGGAGCTGGTTAGATATTGAACTTCTCAGAGGCTTGAAATGAAGTTGAGTTGGAGTTTTAGCATCTATAAAGACCGTGACTCTTAACATACAAGCAGAGCTAATCAAAAAGAAAGCCAATGAAATGTTGAGGACTCCCCAACCTGGACTGTGCGCATGCTGTCAGCCGTACAGAGTACATACACATACTTCAGCCTTCATAGTCAAGCAAGCCTGTTTCTACATTTCTAATGACATATGGCTTAATTTCCCATAGGTCCATGGTATCATCAGACAAATTGCTGAGTAGCTTTACAAAAACAAAGTTAAATGAGCTCCTTTTGTTTATTTTTGTCCAGCTTTTTATTCCCATTACAATGTCACAAGTACATAGCGACAAAATTAACTCTCTGCATTTAACCCATCCTCTTGGGGAGCAGTGTGGGGTAAAGGGTCTTGCTCAGGGACCCAGAGTGTCAGTCCGTGGGAGTGGGGCTTGAACTCAGAACCTCTGGAATCTGAGCGCAATGCCCTAACCAATAGGCTGACACTTCCCTTGTGTCACTTCTTCCTTTGCACACCTGTCGGTGAGGTGAACAGTGTGGTTGAGACGCAATGGGTCCTTGCAACTGTCTGCTCTAGGCAGTGCGCTACTGCCAGAGCCTATATCCTGGAGGTTTGTCACCTCAGTGTCACATTTGCTACAATTTTGTGTGAATACTTGATCCTGGCGAGAAGTATTTTCCACACTAACAATGTAGTAAGACAAGAAGTACGCTGTCGTAATTTTTTTTCTCGCTTTGTCTGCGCCAAGTTCACCTTAGATCCAAGCGGACTGCGTTTAGAAAATGGCCTAGTCAAAGTCCAGAACCATATCTAAATCAAAATCTGTGACAAGACTTGAAAACTGATGTTCATAGATTATTTTCATCTAATATGGCAAAGTTAAGGTGGATTACAAAGAGGAGAGTGTATAAAGTATTGGTTTTACTTTTAAAGACTATCAGCTGTGATTGCATTGCCTAACAGGGCAGCGTGTAAAAGCAGCAAACTTTTCAGACTATTTAATAAATGCAACTATTGATTATATTGGTCTATCACATAAAATCATCATAAATAAGTATATATTCTTGGATTTAATGTGACAAAGCTTAAAAGGGTAAAAATACTTTCACAAGAATCTCCAGATTTCACTTCTCCTTTAACATTTATTTTAACGAAGAATAAATAGACAAGCTTGATATCTAACTATATAAGAGGCAGCCAAAACATTTGACTCCTTATTTCTTTTAGTAGCAGTTTTATGGAAATCTTGCACATGCCCAGAAACATCCTTAGACAGGGTGCTTACAATCCAAAGAAGCAGTGTGCTGAAGTCAGGCTTTCCTCTACTGCTTACTTGCCTTAAAAGAAAAAAAAAAACTGCTTAGCTGTGATGACTAACTTGATTGATCATCTTGGGACTAATGGTCCTGCTTAATTGAATCATCATTAGTAGCTGATTGTTTAGATTAAAATAGCGAAGGAAGCATTTCATCTAGTCTTGTACTGGCATTAAAACAACACAATAAAGTGATTCTGGGATGCAGAAGGAAGGGACTGCAAGCCTTGCATCCCTCAAAGCGTCGGTTTAAGATATTCTCCGACTGTGTAAGAGAGTAAAACAAAAACTTAAGAAGATGAATGTTGGGTTCAGCAAGATTCAATATCAAGCTATGCTAACCAGAGTTAAACGGTATTCAAAAGAAAAAAAGCTTGACCCTTTATGGAAATAAAATACTGGCTCCCCAGCCTTGACTCACATATAAACTAAAGTCGCATCTCATCTCAATAATATTTAGATATGACACTGGTTTACTCTTAGCAGCTATAACAGCCTTAACTGTTCTGGAAAGGTTGCTCAAAACGTTTCGGAGCTCATTTCTGTCAATTTTCATATTTCCCATAAATCCATTTGTAAGGTCACAATCTGATGTAAGAGGAGGCCTGGTGCTCAGCCTCTAATGTAAATGATGCCAAAAGATGTCCTTTCAGGTAGAAAACTGCCTATGTAATTACTTAGGTGATCTTTTAAATTTGTATATCAATCTGAAACATAATGAACAAAAGGAAAAAACACTAAAAACAGGAAAAAAAAAATACCCTTTACGAATAATAAAACCAGATAAAATGTATTAATCCAGCATTTAAAAGGTTTTGATGAGATTTGTAAAAAAAATTCAATGTAAATCACTTAAAAAAAAACTGTCTTTATAATTAATGTTCTAACCTCCAATTTAAACCGTGTGTTGAAGAGCTGGGAGTTCACCACCATCTAATGGAGGTCATGATCATACAAGCAGCTGATGTTCCTGCTAACTTGCTCCCTTCTATATTAAAATATTACCTAATTTTCATTAATGAAAACCACCCCTGCACTATGAACTTGGCACACTGCAAACCCTCCATTAATTATCTATTTTTTACCTTTATATCAAAAAGCTTCAATCCAGTGGACTTTGTTTCACAGTTTGAAGATGTTTGGCTTCCTATCCAGGAAGTTTTTTCAATTAAAAATGTCTGAAATAGAATTGAGTTTGAGGCTTTATAGAGTGGAACGAAATCAAAGCCTTGTTTTGGCTTGGAACACAGGCTTGGTCTGTAGTGCATTTGTATTTAGCTGGTTCATAGGTTTTGTTTGATATGAAGGCCTTCTTTAACATGCTATTCAACAAGTTTACCCTTTGTTGTTGATCTCAATTTTAAAGACTTTCAGTTATCTCAGACTTTAGGGGTTGTAACTGTAATGGTATACAGGTTATTTTTTATGCTTTAAAATTGATAAAACAAGAGAAAATCTCACTCATTGTATTTAATGTCTTTTTGCTTAAGTTTACTAACTCATGATGCCATTTCTGTCTGCAGGGCTCAGCTGATTCGTATACTAGCAGACCATCAGACTCAGATGTATCTCTGGAGGAGGAGCGCGAGGTGCAGGCTCAGGTCCAGAGCCAGAGCCCAAGCCAGAGCCAAGGGCCGGGACAAAGCCGTCAGGAGAGGGAGCAGCAGGCCTCCGTACAATTGGAGAGAGCCAAGGTTGTTACCCTGAGGGAATACTGGCTAAAACCAGAATATATGCTTCATCGTTTTATTATGATGGAACATTGTTTTGATACCATGATGCACTTAATTTCAAAATGGTTTAGTTCAGGTTCTGTAGCTTTAAAATCATAGGATGAGTTATATATTCACAATCTAATTACAAATTCTTGCAGCACTCAGTCAAATCCAGTTCCTAATTTGAAGCTAATTTGTAAGTGGAAAAGTATAATCACACCCACCAGAGAGCAGTGAGGGATTCCCTTTACAGCAATCCCTCATCCTGAGCAAACAACAGAGAAGAGAAAACCCTTCCATTGCACTGGATGATGCCTCCAGAAGAACCCAGCTTTGAAGACTGGGAGGACAGAAAGGAGACCCCGCAAAAAAACAAACAAAAACAAATAGAAAACACGCTGGTTGAAGAGTTTGTTTTGAAATGACAAAAGAAGGGCTGAGGTTACTTAGCTAATGGCTCCATGTAGGAAAGAGAAAGAGGCAGCCAAACAGGAAGTTCTTACACCAGGTGTAGTTTCCAGAACCCCTTCCCGAGGAAATTAGTTATTGGCAGCAAAAGCTCCTGGAAAGAAGTTTCTATGAGAATGTGCTCATATGAATGACTTTTTCCAAGGAAGAAACACAGTTAAACAGTGAAGTAGAAGGACAGGATACATTTTTTTTAAGGGAAAGTGAATAGGGGCACCCTAAATTGGAGGCAGCAATAGTGACAATGGTATAGCATGGGTCCTACAGCCCTTAAAAGTTGCTTAAAAATATAAAACTGAATAGATTTCAATTGACTGAATTTGTGTTTGTGTCTGTCAGAGTAAACCAGTTGCATTTGCTGTAAGGACCAATGTCAGCTACTGCGGCGCCTTGGATGAAGATGTTCCAGTACCAGCCACAGCTATCTCTTTCGACGCCAAGGACTTCCTCCACATAAAAGAGGCATGTCTGCGCATTTCTAGAGCATAAGTTCCCTGACTTTCTGTCATGCAAAATCCATTGAGTAGATATTTAAAGTGCTGCTTATGTTCTCTACGGTTTTCAGAAGTTCAACAATGACTGGTGGATCGGTCGCTTGGTAAAAGAGGGCTGTGAGATCGGTTTCATTCCCAGCCCTCTGAAGCTCGAGAACATCCGGCTCCAGCAGGAGCAAAAGAGAGGACGAGTCCAAGGGTAGGTAACAGATAAACATGTCTAACAATGCAGAAAAAGGTCACATTACTAGAAAGAGCTTCTTAGGTTAAGATGTTTGCATAAAATCTCATGTTACTTCAGCGTTTTATCCAACAGTTTCTTTTTTATTTGATGATTAGGAAAAAATTTAATAAATAACAAATCAAGGTGACAGACACATGCTACCTAGAAAAAAAAAATTATGAACTACAAGTCTGAAGACAAAAAACTGAAATCTTGTCATATAATTTCTTGAAATATAGGTAATGTAAAATAAATGTAAAATAAAACTCTTTACATTTAACAAATTCTCAATTGCATTCAAAAACATTTTGTATGGAATTTGTTTAAGTTAACTTTTAATTAGCAAATTTAATTTGAAGATCTGTAATTTTCAATTTTTTTTTTTTACCTGTATGGTTTTGGTTTGATTTCAAACAGGGCCAGTCAAAGATAATATGAGGCCCCAGAGCAGAATTTGATTTGGGGCCCTATACTAAGTTAAGTGTATCAAACAAAGAAATCACAACTAACGAAGAGGATTTTTGTTAATTTTTCCCCTTAAACATTTAATATGGTTAAAAAAAAATAATTAAAAACTAGCTTATCATCTAATTACATTTTCTTCAGAACCGTTCTGGTTGCTCGCGCTATCTGCTTTTTATAAAGCCTCTGATCAGATACACTTCCAGATGCAAATATACAAAAATTATTCAAAATTTTTTCCCTGAAAAAAATGGCCTATATCCATCGATAAGTTTTTCATTAAACTGAGATTCAACCTCAGTCTGTCTGTCACTCACAGCTCCGTGCTATGTCTGTTTCACTCATGCTTTATACAAATTAGCTCTTCTTAGTGTTTCTATCGCCGCTTTCCATTTCACTATGTGTATAACTGGTCCGTAATATTCTGTCATCCCTAATTAATGCAGTAACTCATTCTCACATCCATAACCCTTGCAGGGTGCCCCGCCCCTTCTTATGACGTCATTATATGGCAACTCAGACCGAACAAACTGTATTGCATCCGTTTCTTAAGAATCAGATCTCTTTTGAAGTCTCAACATTTCACTACCTATATTTGCTATTATTTTGCATTGGTGATCTAAAGTAGCCGAAAGTAGAAAACAGTTGTTGTCAGTCTTGAAAGAAAATACTGTGTTGCCTGGGGAGTGCTGGCTTAGTGGGTTAGTGGAGTGCGCTTGTGCTCTGAGAAGGTTGCAAGTACCCGGGTTCGAGCAGCCCACTGCTCCCCAAGGGGATGGGTTAAATGCAGAAGTTAATTTCTCCAGTGTGAGATTAATAAGTTCATTTATTTCTAAGCCAGACTAAGCTCTGCCATTTACCAAGCTTGTTTTTATTCTTTTTATTAAGATCTGATTGCAGGGAAAGACAAATGGAACATCCGAAAAAATTACTTTTATAGAGATTTTAGATAAAGAAAACAACAGTTATTCCAAGTTATAGAATGCAGGTTGTTGCCTAATATGGCTAACTGACTGAGCTAATCAAGGCTCTGCATGGTCTTGAAGTTACTTTGTTCATAAACATGTTTTTTTCAGTTTTGTTATTAATCAGGTAAAATGTAATCAGTCATTAGACACGCTAATGCTACAGATGCTCCCGACTCCATATACAGAGGCTGCGTGATGTTACAATCGTCTAGGCAACCACAATGTTTTACATCATGTGGCAACGTTCAGCCAATCATGTAGCGTAATGTCACTGGCATGCTCAGGGCCCGAGCAGATCTGGTACCTACACTTGTTTGGAGTATTGTAATTATATAAGAATAAGAACATGATACCAGGTTTTTCAAATCTTCAAATATCAACTATAGCATACATTTGTGAATCCTTTGTTCAGTATTTTGTAAAAAAAACATAGTGCTAGTGTGTTCAAACTGATATGCAGGGTAGATTCTTAAAAACACATAGTGTTTCAGTCAATTTTGATTTCATCCGACCAGAGGCGATTTCTTTCACTTTTGTATGACCCCAAGATCATTTTAGATTACTTACCATCGTATTATTCTAAAGCTACAACAGTGGCTTTTTTTTCTCACACTCTTCCATAACTTGGCTTATGGTTGTAAACCATTTTTTTTATCTAAAGTTTCTTAAACCAAATCAATCATTGCAGCTATTCCAGCCACACTACCTTTGATTATTAATGCCTCCCCTGATCTCTGAGCTATCTGGCCATAGCAGCTGTACCATTCCTTTTCCAGTTGATGAACTTAACAATATTCTGTAAGATTTTAAAAGCTGGATGATCTTTAGTTACTTAAACCTTTATGAAGGTGAAATGAATTTATTCATGGGTATCTGAGAAAAGGGGAATACAAATGTAAACCACACTTTTGAGATTCTTATGGGTAAAAACCCATTTATCATTTTCCGTCCAATCCACAACTATGCACTTGTTTGAGTTGGTCCATCTTATAAGTTGCTAAATAATCATGAAAGAAAAAAAAAGGTAATGAAGTATGAATAATTTTGCCAGCAATTTATTCTGCCACGTGTTATGTTTCTGTCACGTGTAATTCCTTGGACCGAAATCTGGTCACTTCATTAATTTTAAGTTTGTGGATTGTTGTTTCCTATTCAGATGAAAACCTCTGAGGTTTATAATATATAGTCATAGAATGCAAACTTATTATCTTTCCTGGAGCCATAGAAAAAAGATGATTTTAAAACTACATCACTCTAATGATCTGGGCCTTTTTTAGGCCTCCATCCTCTCAAACACTCATAATGTTCCCAGTTTACATTAGCATTTGAGCTGCAGATACTTGTACTACCATAATGCTACCCTAGCACCTGGGGCTGCAACTATTAGACTGATTTAACTATTTTGGGCGAACATCCTTTCCATTGTCTTTACTCACCTACTTTTATGAGTAATTATTCAGCATACAATTGATATTTACAAGTATTAATATCTACATAAATTGATCATTTAATAAGTTTTTATTAAAATAGTTATTTATCTATGATTTCACTGAAGACTCCTAGATGACTTGCAGAGACACATTATTTTCTCTTTAACCCATATAACACCAAATCTTTTTCTGAAAAGAGCATGAATGCTGTATTTATCATTTTTAATGATAGTATATTGATATGCATTATTAATCTCAGTGTTTTTGTTGTCAAGTAATTGATAATAAATATATGAAAAATTTAAATGTTTTGCCACCATCTGTATTAGAGGGAAATAAATGGTAGCGGGGGCAACAGGGGTGGTCAACGGCTAAGGGTGACCATGGCCACCCCTGGCCCCCCATCTAGCTCCGCCCCTGTCCTTCACCTTAGTAGGTTGTAGCCACATGTAGTTCCTGATTGGTTTTCTGACACAAATATAAACAAAAGTTTATATTTTTCAGTTCAGATTTCGCATTACTCTCGCTCAGCAGCATTTGCAAAAAAAATGGTTTTGTTTCATTAGACTCGAGACCTTAGCATCGCTCCACCTCTTTGCATTCAAGAGCTGCCCTCTACATAGGGATGTAATTCATTTGCTCCAGCCGCGAAATTCGCATTTGGTGTGAACACACCTGAAGAGAGCAGCAGAAATGACAGCTTATCCTCATGTTACTCTTTAACCCAATGCCATTATCTCTTCTGAACTAACATGTCATCAGTTGGACTTTTAACTAATGCATGCATATTAGTAAAAGCTGTCATATTATTGCTGCATTCTGTTTATATTGTCTTAAAGTTTCTCCCGTCTTGTCTTAAAGTCAGAAAAAGCGGCATACACTTGATCTTTGCTTTTATTTTTTTGCCTATAAACAAGGTTGAGACAAGGTTGAGGTTGAAACACTGCAAAGTAGTATTTATCTGGCCGGCTAAATGGTTAAAAAAAAAAGGATAGAGAACTTCTGAATAAATCCATTGTTGATGCAAATAGCCGCCATCTTGAACCTGGAAGTCAGCATGACTGCTTTGAACGGAAGCCGAGAGCGGTTGCACTCAACTATCTGGTTATCACGGTTAAACTGTTAATTGTTTTCTCAGGATAACAAGATAATTATCTTATTATCACAAAAAAAATTATTGATTTCTTGAGATAACCTGTATGACTAATGAATGAGGCTGGCCAAAAGCCCTGGATTCCCAGTCCATCCATGCCTGCGGGGCCTGTAGTTGCGCAGTCAGTTCTTTAGTTTCCTTTTTCTTTTCACTCATTGTCAAGATGATTTGATTGCATGGAATACAGTAGAAACAAATCTGATTGTTTTTTAATGAAAATCTTTAATCTGGACTCATTTTGGGGGTTAATGCATCTTATATCTTTTACAGGCGTAACACCGGGGCTGTTCAGAAAACACCCGGCACTAAGGCGGGGAAGGCATGGGTCTAATTGCTTAGGAATCATAAGTGGAAGCAAATCATCAAACCAACAACGTTGTCTCGTTACCTAAAAGTTCAACTAAGGATTATTTACAGAATTACTCACAGGCTGTCATGACTTATACTTATAAATCCTCTCCCGCTGTTCTGGTATTGAAGGATGGAATCAGTTTTAAGACACACCAATCATCTTGTTATCACAAGAAAATGTCTTTCATTTTCTTTAAATAATGAGAAAATTAATTTGTTTTCTCGAGAAAACCACCGTGAAAAAGTGTCGGAGGGACACGACCGCTCTCGGCTTCCGTAGTTTTGCCCTGACTTTCCTACTCATAATTATGCTTTTTTAGCTGAAATTTACTTCTCAAAGTTTTGAAATTCAAACGCAGCACAACTAACTTTAACATGATTAAACATTTACTGTTGAGCTAATGGTAGTAGCTGAGTTGCCGTTAAAATGCAGTTATCTGATAGCTGACATGCACTATTTTACACTTCCTTTGCAATATATTTAAGACGTGTACATCATTTATTTAAATGCATTTTCATGGCAAACATTAATGTATTAAAAAGCTATAATCGGCTAAATCAGAATAGGATTTCTGGGGTAAAAAAATAATGGAATACTGTTTTAAATGTAGTTTGAGGCTAAAAAAAATCAAATACATTTTTTAGTTATTTTTTAACATTAATGCTGCCATGTTTTTCTGTCTTTTTTTTTATCCCTTCTTGTCTTTTTCAGTAAGTCTGGAGGAAACTCCTCTTCCAGTGTGGAGGATGAGGTCTCAGCCTCTATCCGACCACTCATATCCTCAGCAGGTGAGAAAATCGGACGGGGGGGAGAGGACCAATTATAACCCGTCTGCAAGCTCACAGCCAAACATCCTGAAAATCAAAAATCATAGATAGTATAAGAATCTAAAGCCTTCCCATGTCTCCACATAGAGCATAAGGTTACTTCATAGAGTCGCTGGTACATTTTCCCATGATCCTCCTCTTCCTCCAGTTGAGGACTGCAGGCGCTCTGAGACTGGGGCTAACCAACGACAAGACTATGACCCCCCCCTCTGAACTGCACTTTGTGAATATAACTTTAGGACTATAGATATACCTTTTCATTTGTTTTGTAGATATTATTAATAGGTTTCATTTGTTATGAATCGTAACAAATATATGGTTATATAAAGTATGTTTAAGTATTTATTAAATATTGCAGCTACTGATGGCCTTTCTCTTTGTCTTCTCTCCCTTCCTACAGGAAAGCAGAAACAGAAAGTGGTAAGTTAGCGGCTGTATTTCACCCATTCCCCCTTCCTCAGCTTTTGCTGATTCCATAGTAACGTGACAGGCTCATACTGTACATTACTTCAGTTTTACCAAATCAAATCAACACTTGCAGCTTCTATTACTCATAAGGAAATACTCCTTTAACAGGAATGCCCTCACCTTTGTAGGTTCACTGTAAATTTTTGCTATACTACAATACTAAGAATCAAAATATAGAAATGTGATATGGATATAAACTTATCCAATCAAAATTTAACTAACATTTAAAACTAACAATCTGCACATTTTGGACAATTAAACCCCGGATATGATAGAGAATGAGATTATTTGTTGACTTTTAAATAAGTTGCAAAATTATCTAACAGATGAATCCTTGGTGATGTTAAAATAGTATAAAAGTTGAAAAGTTTGAGTACAATGAGTGAAAATATCATACACCGTATGCCCGCCCTATCCCAAATACACTTCATCTAAAGCGACCAACAGATTCCAACATTTTCCTTCAGGGTTTCCAACCAAAGAGCAGATTTCTTGGGTCCATTATTTATAAAATATCATGCCAGTTCTAAAGCAACAAAAGCGACAACAGACTATCAAACTACCACTGCCATGTTTGATTGTAGGTATGATGGAGAATCAGTTAATTTAGGAATCAACACAAATAGTTATTATATTATCAGATAGAAGATATATGATGTGTAGCGTTTCCCCATAAAAATGTCCTCAGTAGAAAATCAACTCAGATCATCTTTCTCCCAAATATTTGTTTATCTGAAACTGATAAAGAGGTAAATACATCTTTAAAGCACTGTATCTGTAATTCTAATAATATATTTCCTATTAAGGTAAACTTCTGTAGGTTTTTTGACTTCCCCTATGATATTGTTAAGTAGCGTGCAGCAAATAAATCAACAATCTGCAAGTTATTACAGGTTTATATGTTCAGGCATTAAAAAAGTTTTGATTTGAGTAAATTTAAAACCATCTATAATTGTATCATATTTAAGCTATTTTTTAATGCGGATAACTTGTCATTTGCTCCATGCTCCAACATTGCCATATATATCGCATTTTACATAGAGCATTCCTTTGGCTTCAGCTCATTGTAACCATCTGCTGTGTGCATTTATGTGGTTATTCTGAGCTGTTTTCTGCATTTGTGACAAATCCTCTCCTGCCACTCTATTAACAGACGGAGCACGTCCCTCCATATGATGTGGTACCCTCTATGAGGCCTGTGGTGCTTGTGGGACCTTCACTCAAGGGTTACGAGGTAAGCTGGGTGTCCTTATGGACAAATCTAAAATTAGAATCATGCAGTTTGAAGCTCCTCACTTTTACCAACACATTAAAGCAAAGAATCAGTGCAGAGATGGACATAAGGTCTTGCAGGTTTTGCAACGAGTCCCTAAAAATAGCTCGCTGTTGGCAAAGTAAGTTATGAGTGTTTCATTGACCATGTGATGCACTGATTGCAGTCTAAGATGAGAACAGGAGGTCAGTTATAAATATGTTGAGTAAGTGGACTGATTTGGTGCTAGGAGGAGCTGTATTGGTACTGTTACAATATATCACTGAGCCACAGATAAAAAGGCATGAACAGTTCATCTGCATTGGCCTTTTCTGCACAGATGAGGAGGTTTATCTCAACAACTGTAGCAAGATTCAATTTTGAATATCTTATAACAAGCCTTGCAAAAACAATATAACTATGTTTGTCCCCATTGAAAGAACAAACTTTAATGTATATTATTTAGATATGATTTTATAATTTTCTATACATAAAATCAGAAAAGCTTCTTATGCATTGATACTTAGCTCCCTTCAATCTCAAATCTTGTGCATCCGACTGTCTTGGGATTAACAATTTTTTTTATGTTGCAGGTAACAGACATGATGCAGAAAGCCTTATTTGACTTCCTGAAGCACAGATTTGATGGCAGGTGAGAAGAAAAAAGATGAATTTGCATGTTCCCACCAGTCTTTCAATATAAACATTAAATAAATAAAAGTTAAATGACTTTGGACATAAAGAGTCTAAAACGTTTTTCATAACCGCAAACTGGATATATGATCTCAATACCTTCAAAAGAAAAATACTGCAATTCCCAAATACACCAAAGTTAATATGTTAGCAAGAGGTGACAGGCTGATTCTGTTTGGACCAATAGTCTAGAAAGTAACATTTTTAAAATGATATTTATGTAATAATTCATTTACACAACATATTGAATCCCTGTCATTACAGTATGAAGGCCAGTATGAATTATAGTATGTAAGCCAACTTGGATGCAATATTAGGAGAATATAATGTATTTACCCAGCATGGATAAAAATAATGTATATTTGTTGCTGGTTTGATGTTTAACAAAAATGGTAAGGACATTAGAATTAAATAAAAGACTAACTGACCATTTATTATTTCTATGTGTTGCAGATTCATCTGTTTCATGCGAAGCTCATTTAATTTGTTCAATAAGAAATCACAATTCTTCACTTTGAAGTCCTCTTTTGCAGTAAAATCTAAACAAAGGGTGTTGAAAAAGCTCCCCCCTGGGCAGTAAAAATGTTAGATTTCTGTCAGTTAAAACCTTCATGCTACATATTAAGATATGAAGAGGGATCTGACTTGTCATGTTTGAAATATCTTTATGTAGAATAACAATAACAAGGGTCACCGCAGATATCTCATTGGCCAAGAGGTCTGTTCTTAACAACCCCAGTAAGCGAGCCATTATAGAAAGATCCAACACTCGTTCCAGTTTAGGTAAGATTTTCACGGGCGATTATAAGTCAAAACATCTTGTAAACACATTAAAACTCAAATGCGGTTTATATTAAGCTGCCAAACTAAAGAGTATTTGAAACTAATTGGAAATCTTGGTCCACAGCTGAGGTGCAAAGTGAGATTGAAAGGATCTTTGAGTTGGCGCGCTCCCTTCAGCTGGTTGTGCTGGACGCTGACACCATCAACCACCCAGCCCAGCTCCTCAAAACCTCACTGGCGCCCATCATCGTCCATGTCAAAGTCTCCTCGCCAAAGGTAAAAATGGAGTAGAAAATATGGGGGCCTCAAACTTAAAGCTAGAGGGTTAGACTGACTACATTAGTATGAAGTGCTGGATTTAGAAGCCAAGCACTTTTAGATTTTTTGCAAGTTTTGGTAATCATAACATTGTCGTTTTTGAATAAACGTCCTCATTTTATCCACAGAAGGATTATGCTGAATCTATACTACAACAAATAAGGTAGCTGCAGTATTCATGATGAGGAATACTGTGGATTTTGGTAAAACTGGAGTTTTTTAAATTGCTTTTGTTTTAAGTTTTACAACTGTTTTTAACTTAATCACATCTTTTTAAACAGTAGACTATAAGGATATGCATTTCATGGGTGCAGATTGCTAAGAAAGTGACATGCATCTAACTACCAATATTAAATGTATACGACATCTGCCTTGAGCTCTTGAAATTGTCAGGGGTTTTATCTGGCACCAACAGGTTGAATTTCTTAGAACAGAAAGGAGACATTAGAAAAACAACAATGGTACTATCTACAAAAGACAATCTACACACCCATTTGCTGATGCCTTCCCAAATAAAGGGTACATAAAAACGTAAGATTTAGGTAAAAAGTCTTAAATAGTGCAGACAATAGCTCAAAAACACTGAGTTGCAGTGCTTTCTTTGTGATAAAGGCCACAGAGTAAATGACAGCAAAAGCAAGTTTAGCAAAACATTGTTAGCCCCGAATCTTTTATTTAGGACCGTTGTCTATGAAGAACAAAAAACACACACCGAGAAGACACAGCGTGATAGTTTGTGCAAAGATAATCAGGAATTTCAACTGAATGGAAGTCAGCTTTGTCAATTCTTGCATCCAGAAAGAGATACAGCCCACCACAGAAGCCTGCAGATGTCAAAGGAAAGACAAGGTGCCTACAGAGTTACTGACGGTAAAGACCATCAAGGTTTCCAGGCAGGAAAGAGACACTGTTAAGCAAAATGTGTTGCAGAGCCAGGAGGAATGTTCTTAGTATCAGCCGACCATTTTTATTTTGAACAAAACTAAGCTAAATCTCTAGAAAACTTCATTTGTTTCTTTTCTCATCATGAGCTATAGCCTACATCGTTCTTGAAGGTAACTCCAACTGAATGTGTTTTAATGTTTGTGTTCAAGGACCTCCTTCATTTTTTCCATACTCCAGGTTCTTCAGAGGTTAGTCAAGTCCAGAGGGAAGTCTCAGAGCAAACACCTCAATGTCCAGCTTGTGGCAGCAGAAAAACTGTCTCAGTGTCCACCGGTAAGCACTCTCTTTGGGTTTAAAAGGCCATTGTTTAACATTTCTGAATCAAGTAATAGGGAAAAAGAAACCATGCAATTGTAGACGCAAGTATAAACTCTGACATCGTCTTTAATAACAACTTAAGTTAATCTGAGCCTAAATGGTCTCCATATTTCTGTCTAATGCCTCCTGCAACTAACAGGAAATGTTTGACATCATCCTGGATGAAAACCAGTTGGAGGATGCCTGTGAACATCTTGCTGAATACCTGGAGGCCTACTGGAAAGCAACTCATACCTCGATGGCAACACCTCTAAACCCTCTGATGGGACGAAACCTTGGATCCACTACACTCACTCCTTACTCCACCAGCATCTCTGGTCTGCAGGTATGTCCAATGGCGTATTCGACATAAGACCACTTTTGCCTTATCCTTTTTTCTTAAGAGAAGTGAATATGCTTATATTTAAGCATATTTATATTTTAGTTAAGCGCCTCTTGCCCTCATGTTATCCACGTTGGTTTAGCAGTACCGTCTATTTGTAGTGGCTTATCAGTGTCCTCGGTACGTTCTTGTGATTACCAGAGCCAAAGAATGCGACAGAGCAACCACACAGGAGACCACTCTACAGCCAACGAAAGGCGCAACCTGATGACATCAGACGAAAACTACCACAATGAGCGAGCGCATAAGGGACGCAACCGCATGTCTTCTGGCTCGCAGCACAGTCGAGAGCAGCAGGACCCCTACCAAGATTACCAGGACCCCTATCAGGACGCCTACAAGCCCCATCGCAATCGAAGTTCACCGGGCAGCTACAGCCACGATTCCAGGCACCGGCTCTGAGCCCACTTCTGCCATCGCCAGAACTCCTCAGACCCAGGTTTCAATGAAAATAAACCCTGCAAAAGAGCAAAGATGGTCCCCAAATTGTACCCCCTTTTTTTCTCTCTTTGGTCTGACTGGCAAGTTTTCTTTTTCAAAGTTGAGTAGGATACTGATCAGGTATTTGTTTTTAATCAAACTGTCAATCAAAAGCATGAAGAAGTCAGAAGATTCTGAATGCCAAAAATAATTCCCTCTGAAATTCCTTTTATTTATCCTTTGGGGATCTTCTTGGATTGCACTAACACATGCTCTGCAGATGTGCAGCATGGATTCTGCTTGTTGCGTCTTTCAACGAGATGGTTTTGGATACTGAACCGGTGGTGATGTAAAGGCACCGGTGTGCCTGGAGTAACACCAAGTAAGAGGAACATTTACTGCACAAAGACTGCTAAAAGGCTGCTGCCCCTATCCCGGGCTGTGTATAAATCCTCTCACCATTTAGCTTATTGCATGCTGATTAGTATGTCAACCTCCGCATCCACTTAGCTAACATTTTGTACCTAGCATTCTGGTTAAGGTTTAGGTCCAATTTTCTAAATTAACTGATTCTGGATCTGTTATTGGTGAGGATTGTGGTCCGGTGTGCAGATAGCTTTGAAAACTGGTGCTTCACATACCCCATCCCCATATCCCTTAACATGTTTTTGCTATTTGCAAATCACTTTAAGCAAGGCCAGCTTTTCTGTAGCATAGCTTTAGCATCTTATTAGGGAGTAGCCCTCGTGGTCACAGGCGAAACAGATGCTGATGGTGCTGGGATCAGGTCAGAGCTACACCTTAGAGCCTCTGCTCTGAACAGGTGGCACAACGAAGGCACTATCTGTATGTGTGTGTATATATAGGATAGTTAGCTACAATAGTAAGATGCAACCCGAGATGTTTTTTGTGTTTATATAACGGGGAGATCGTCTGAAGAAAGTCAGGATGTCTTTTTGGTTCTTATTTCCCCTAAACTTCAGTGAAATTACAGTATCGTCAGCATATGTAGAGAATTTGTGTCTATTCTTTTTACATAGGAATACACCCATCAGTTTATGCCGATACATTTATCTTTAAATGGGGTTGAAACAAACAGAACAATCATGTCATAATAATTTAATGTGTAGCTACCATGATACCCTGATGGCAAAGCATGATCCCTATGGATGTAGAATAGGAACCCCAATGCACTTAACCAATTACTTTTATGAAAGTAAGGAGCTTCCTCATCTCAAACCCAAAATGTAGTACAGGTGAATACTTCCCAGTACGGATGAGATTTGCATCTCATCTAAGAGGAAAAAAAAAGGTATATGCAAAGAAAAGATTTTGCATGATCTAAATTGAAGAAACCAGAATCATACATTTCTGCTTATTTTGTCCAATTAGTTATTCATCAAGGTATGCGATACACTAAAACTTACTAAACATCCAGATGGTGCTTTGTATAAATACAGAGAGCTAACTTTGTTCATGATTCTGTTTGATTTGCTGTTGTGCTGATTTTTTATACATACCATATGCTTCTAAGATATCATACACAAAAAAATTGATTATCCAAAAGACTGCTTGAAGAGATTTATCCATTTTTATGACGATGTGTCTAATTTGCTGCAGAAGGCTTTTTATTTTTTCCTATTTTGTTCTTAACGGGACATATAGAGTGGGATAAAAAGCTATTGCTCCTATTAGGGAATTTTATTTCTGCTATGTCAGAAAAAAAAAAAAAAAAAAAGAAATTTATTGATGGAATAGCTGGCCAATGACAGCAGCAAAATATTAAAGTCACACTTCCTCTTTTAATTATCTGTAACATTTAGGGAAAAAGTTTTGCATTTCAAGCTCAGAAGGTTGCCTAAACTGTACCACAGTTGGTTGAGTTGTGGTGTTGCATGCATTACGGTTGCAGTAAAGATGCCTGGAAAATAAAAGATTAGTAAACATTGTTACTAATTACATTTGGAAACAAGTCACATTTATATTCCTTGAGAGCGTGGTAAGGTGGTACGCCAAAGTTTAAATCAAAATGTGAATCAGACACACTAAACAGGCTTTATCTGAGAAGCTTTTGTACCTTTCTTCATACTATACATGTTTGCATGCAGCTGGTTTAAAATTGTATCAGTCTGGGCTTCAATGATGAAAAGTCTATACTTTTAGAGGACATGTTACAGATGTCAGGCATGCAGCTGTGCAAAAGTGGAATGCAACTCTTAGTAATGCATCTGAGATCTAGATCATTTATTTCAATTCAAGGTTTATTAGAAACATTGATCCCCAGTGCAAACCAGCCCGAGCAATAAAAGAATGAATATCCCAAAAATATTTTTAGCCCAAAGGTAGCAAACCCTGGACTATCCCGTTATATTCTTTACGTAGCCTCAAGATGGCAGTAGCATGCTATTGGTAGGTGAGCTGGAGGAGCAGCGCCATGAAATGTATGTTAGCACATGTAGGTTAAGTGTTAACTGTCTTACCTGCAGCCAGTAAATCTCTTGGCATCTTCAGTTAAAATAAATTCAGATTAGCTGGACGGCTAAGAATCCGAGACATTGACTGCTACCATCTTAAAAACAGCTTATTCTCCAATTTATGCAATCGCTTCTTTATAAACATTTCAACCTTTGTGACATTTGAATGTTGGTTATTTAAACAAAAGTTGATGATGATTCCAGATATAATGTGAGTAGAATGATGTTCCTGTATGAAACATATACTAGGATGGAACATGTAGAGGACTGATCGGCAGTTTTTGAGCAGATTTTATAAGTTTCTCCATATTTCCAGGTATGCCAGCATATTAAAAATATGCCACATTACTCTAGATATGAAGAAAGAATGGGGGTTTGAGTACATTTTTAAAATAGCATGTATGTATTAGGATCAGAGGTGTGGAGTTCACTGTGATTTTCTGGCTCATGAGGAGCTTCATAACTTTTTCTATGTCTGTTTTATTTTAATTGTATTCATCATAATAAAAGATCAAATGACCATCTGGGAATTGCATTGCAAGGCTCTCTGGATGCCCCCAGTTGGTCAAACTAGTTTAAGTCAAGTTAATCAGACTCCAAGAAATGTGAAACATCTGCCTGGCATAATGAGGAAGTATGTTATCTTATTATAAAGTCATTGTGATATTTGAGTAGCAGTTGTCTGGATTCTGTTGCAGTGGCAGCTCAGAGCGTTGCTTCTAATGTAGCATTTTGCATCGTGTCTAGAACTCTGTCTGTGAGTTTGTTTAAATGTGAAATGCACAGACGCACAACTTAACACAAAAGAGCCAACTTCTTAGGACGAGATGTTCACCAACACCTTAAGAATAACAGAAGCTGTTTCAAGGAGGAAAATGTTCTGATATTGGACAGAAAAGATCTCTAAACTCTTGACTACAAGAAAGCTACACGTTTTAGCTTTCAAAAAGCACTGAACCTTATGATCAGTCAGTTTTAAACCAATTCAAATCTGCATGTGACTTAACATCTCGAACTGAGTCAGGCTAACAACTGCTGTACAATCGCATGTGAATTTAGATCCACAGAACATCTCAATTAGCTACGAACTTCTTCTTCTCTGGCTTTGAATTGGGAAAGAGCTTTGGATAAAAGACAAATGTTTTGCAGCTACCAAAGTCAAGGTCAAGTAGTTTTGATAATACCGTTTTCTAGGAGTTGCCATATCTTAGGTGACGAAGAATATTCAACAGTATATCCCAAACATTGCACCTGATTTCTGATAGGAGTGTGGGAAAACGTTTGGCGATATGTTGCGATCTTGTATAATATCGATCTTTTTGTTCCTAGTCCATCCATCCATTCCATTTTCCGTCATGTTTATCCCAAGTGGGGTCGCGAGGGGTGCTGGTGCCTACCTACAGCTTTCTATGGGCGAGAGGCGGGGTACACCCTGAAAAGATCACCAATCTATAGCAGGGCAACACAGAGACAAACAACCATTCACACACTCACACCTAAGGAGAATTTAGAGAAGGCAATTAGTCAGGTTTTTGGACTGTGGGAGGAAGCCAGAGTACCTGGAGAGAACCCACACATGCTCAGGGAGAACATGCAAACTCCATGCAGAAATCGAACCCAGAAACCTCTTGCTGCAAGGCAGCAGTGCTATCCTTTGTGCCAATGAGCAGCCCCTCCGTTCCTAGTATCGATTAAAAAAAAACACTGCAGAAACAATCTCAAAATGAGTTAATTGTCTTAAATTATTTAAGGGTATTTACCCTTAATTTTCGCAGGTAAATAAGATTATTTGCCAATGGAATTAGTATTTTTACTCTTAAAATAAGGTGTGTAGATTATGTTTTTTCTTATTTTAAGTGTAAATTGTCTTGTTCCATTGGCAAAGTGTCTCACTTAAATTCTTAATTCAAGAAAAAATGCACTTATTTGAAAAAATTACTTATTTAGATTTAATGTTTTTGCAGTGCAAAACAAAATTTTGTACCTAAAGCAATGAGGGGATGTGGGCGTCACCGTCGCTATGGCAGATAGTCCTGTGGAGCCCTTTGGCTTTGCAGCGCAGCGCCATAGTGGAAGAAGTAGACTCACCCAAACCACAAAAAACATGCATACTAAATTAACTAAATTATCAATATCTTCTGATGAAGATATACAGCCCTTGCTTTTGTTATCTATACATTTAATTTTGAACGCTGAGGGGAAAAAAATCGCAATATATTCCAATATGGATATATTTTGATAATATTTTGATTGTATCGTATCGCAACACCCATGCTAATACTTAAATTTCTGGGGACTGTAGGTCCTTCATAAGTGCAATACTTCCAACCCGCATTCAGAACTATACAGTTTTGAGGTGAGGTGAAATGTTTATAAAAAAACAAAAAGTCAAGTTGCCAATTTTCAAGCACATAGCTTGGTCTGCGAAAAAACTTCATTACTATAAGTAGAGTAAACAACACATGGTTTGTTTATGCTTACTGCGCTACTAGGTATATATGCCAACATGTCGTATTTAATTTATGAAGATCATTCTACATCAAGCATTTTTCATGTAAGTTGATCAGGATCTACATAAATTACCACCTAATATTTAAATATTAAAAAATGGGGGGGTTGATAATTTTTAATACCCTATCTAAATAACAAACTAAGCCATTTTAATGTACTTTTACTTTACTATAATATTGACAAATGATCAAACCTGATAAAAACTCAGTTTTGTAATAAAATGTATTTATTATCCAAACTATTAATGCACTCAATTCTCTGTGCAGGTAATTTATACACTTGAATATTCTGTGGACAGTTTGAGCCAGTATCGCTGTAACTGACTGTGATTACATTTACCAGGAGAAATTACAGGGGTGTCGATTTTCGGGATTAGTCATAAAGACCCCTCCACCACCCTTAAACAGGGCAATATGTTTGGAGACAAAAAAAAACAAAACAAAAAAAATAAACCAAAAAAACCTGCAAAAACAATCTACAAGTTGGAAAAACAAAAACAGAATCTGAAATTAGTTTTTCTTTTGAACAAACTATAATTTTTCAGGCTTCATTCTTCTTAATTTTTTTTTTGGCCCCAATTTAGCCCCATACATTTGGTCAAAATATGTTAAAACTCATTATTACAATTATTCACAATTATTACAATTAATAAATTGTAATATATACAATACAATTTTTTAAATAAAAAATGTTATTTTTAGAAGTGTTAAATAATCTGGTGGTTTCAACAAGATTCAATAAGTTTTAACTCACCACCGTTGTCATTTTGCCAAAGCAACCCCTGTAGCTGTGCTGAATAACCCATTGGACACATCCACAGTCGCCAAGGTCTGTGCTTGCTGCATCACATTAGACTTCCATAACTTCTGCGAAATGTTAAACCTGGAAAAAAAAAACGCTAAAAAAACAAAATAAAATAAATCCAATCACAGATAGATCAGGAACATCTCTCAACATGGGGAACCTAGCTTCTGCTCTTGGAAAGACGAGGCATTCAGTGCTGGAGCTGCAGGTAATCCTGTAATCCCAGAGGTCTGGATTGTGGAAAATGTATAAACAAACAAAACAAAATTGGATGAGAAATAAAGAAATCAGTGAGGCTAAGTAGTGTGAGAAAGAATCCATTAACCCTTATTGAACTATGATTCTAGACATTATTTCACATCCCAAGACAAAGCATGGGATGGGAATTTATAATGATTTCATGTATTGTTTTCGTCTTTTTTGTCCTGTAATCCATTCTGTTTTAACAACATATGATCCCCATAAATAGGCAGGACTGGAGGCTTACTGGCCACTAGTCTTTGATGTGTAAATCAAACACGATGTCAGTTTAAAGCTTTAAAAACAGTTTCCCTTAACCACTTTGGATTTGGCCCCTGTAGGACGTACGGGTCTAGATTAATATACAAGAAAAGATTAAGTTAAATATAAGTTAAATATAAACTTTGTTGGTAACCTTTTAAAATAAGTTCTCTTAAAAAACCTTAAAGTATCCTTTTAATTTAACCATTGCTGTGCTGTAATGTAGCAGCGGCAAAACGTGTTCTTAGCCACTAGATGGCAGCAGAAGCTGCGGATGAGTTCATCACGACTTGTTGAGTCACTGCAGCAGAATCTATCTTGAGAGGATTTTTTTTTTTTATTAAGGTTGAGCAGCACAGCTCTCTGTTGAAACAACTGAAAGATAAGAGTGATAAGATCTGTACTTTTTGTATCATTAAGTTTATAATTGCCCAATAGATTGCATTTGTCATTATTGGTAGCTCCCAGGCTTACAAAACACTTATTGAATATTTACAAAATATTGATTTATGAATTGTGCTCAAAATGTGGGTCTCCGATTGCTCATTTTAAATTATGTTTGTGTTTTTAAAGCCTAAAGAGAACTGGATAGTTAAAAAAAAAAAGCTGGATTAACCTAAAACAAACTTTTGGTGCACATATTTGGGCAAAATAACAGCTGATTTACACCTTTTCATGTAGTTTTGAAGTTCCTGTGTAGCACAAAGGCAAAGTTCTGAAAATATGGTATGCTGGAGCTGGTACACAGGTGGGGTTTGTTTGCATACCATGGTATCAGAGCCACTTTATGCATTCAGTTTGCATGTTTAATGCAGAGCATTAAAAAAGCATTGGTTGATTCTTCATTAGAATATCCATCCAATTAGTGTTGAGCTCGGCTCATTCAAACAATCAGGAGGGATTCCCACACCAGAGCTCCAACACCCTTCTCTTTATAACATCCTTAATGCAACTAAAGACAGATTATATTGAAAAAAAACTCTTTCATAGAGCGTTCTGGAGAGTTTTTTGGTCAAAAACTTCTCTGCGTACTTTGCTTTTGGATAAAAACAGACAAACATAGAACACATGGGGGAAGATTTTTCATTCCGAAAAACAAAAGATGCAAAAGAGCAACAGTTTATTCCAGTAGGAAAATAATGTACAAATATTTCCTGCCGATTATTTTTCTAACAAATATATGTACATATTGCCTCTGAGAGATGCTATTTGTTGTATACATGTGCTATGATAAGACTACAGCGAGGTTCAGTATACAAAGTTTCAGTAATGTGCAATACAAAACAGCATGCTGTTTTAAAAATGAGGAACTTCATGTACTGTACTATGCAACCGCAAACTGTGTACATTGCTTCATGCTGTGGCTTCTCCAAACCACCCTTTTTCCAAGCAGCATCATCTGGACAATTGGGGGAATTTTTGTGTTGTTGTTTTTTTTGGGGGCGGGGTCTGTGAAAAATGAAAACTTAAGAGGCTAATGCGGTATTGCATGCGTGATATACCATTGGATTAATTTTAAAAAAGAAGGAAAATACTAAAATACACGTATTTCATCAAAACAAGCGACTTAAAACTTTTTTTTTTTTTTCAAAAATAAAAGATTTGTTTGGAAGTTGTATTTAGTGTTGTTGTGTTTTCTTTTACTGTAGCATGATATGAGAAATTCATGGCATGAGATGGTATTGGGGGGGGGGGGGGGCGGCACAATTAGGTTACCTGGAAAATACAATCCAATTAGCTCAAAAAAAAATTATGAAGTGGTTTCCGCAAATTAAATTCAAAGCTCTAATTTTTTAAGGGCCACCTACTGCAGTCTCATTAATTTTTAACCCTTTAAGGACAAACATCTTAATGGTGTCTATTTCAGCGATGGAATTTCAGCAGAAACAGAAGGATGTAATATATGAGGTGATAGAGATACAGTTTAGTTGTGGAACTGCTCCATTGTTCCTTTTATGA